TGACTGTCCTGCCACCGCCGCTATCCCAAGTTTCTTTTTTGGTTGTAGAGCAATGAGTGTATTTTCCCTAACAACTCTCCGGCAACACGCACAAACAAAGCCATGCACAGCGACAAGCTGTACCGCTTACCACCGGGCTGATGACATTCTTGTTATTGAAGCAGGAAGTGACTCAGCTGCGACGGGTCATATACTTGATTCCGTTGTGTTTGCTCATTTTAAGAAAAAAAAAAAAAGCAATTGCAAGGCAACCGTGCCTGTTTTCTAAATAACACACTTTCCTTGGAGAAAAGCTAAGCCACAAACAAGTGCTCGCAAACTCCAGTGCGTGTCTTCGAGGAAACGGGGGTGGGGGGGGGCCCTCCGTCCACGGTCCTTGTCACATCACTGCAAGGACGTCTCCACTGGAGAGCACACTCCAAACAGGTGCTTTGGAGGTGAAAAGAGCTGGACCCCCGCTGCCAGCACCCAGCTGTCCCCTGGGCTATGCCTGCCCATGGGCCCCCTCTCAGCCCCCAGCCTGTCTCAGCACATCCAGCGTTTGTCCCTCCGCCACTGGACACTCAGGCCCTGTCTGGTTTCCAGCAGAGCACAATGGCCTGGCCTGTCTTCTATTGATTCATGATGCCACAGAAGACAAAATGCAATGCGACATGCACACACAGCACACACAACAAGCACAATACCTGGCACACACATGAAATGCCCACATGCATACCGCATGAAGCATGCGTACCCTGCACACATCCACAATACTCAGCATAAACAGGACATGCAACATATAAATACACACCTCCTGGTGCAATACAACATACATGTGACACACACAACACCCAACATGCACATGTACAGCACGTGGCCCACATGACATATACACGCACAGCATGTGTCCATACAGACTGTCCTGCTCCCCCTTGCCTATGCACCCAGCACCGTCCCCTTCTGCTCACGCCAGTTCCCTCCCCCACTCCCTGGACTCAGGGCTCCTCACAGGGTGAGGGAAAGGCAACAGTCAGCCTGCCACTGGTTTTAGGTCATGGCCGAGCCTCTGTGCCCAGAATGAGCCAACAATACCCTCTGCCAGCAGCCGAGCCCATAGGAAGCGGGACCCCCAGGACAGTCTGATGTGAGAATTAGGTGTGCTACGAGGCACAGGTGGGGGGGACATAGGGAGACACGGGAGATGTGGGGCAGACATGGGGGGGGGCGGGGGCCAGGGACACGGAGGGGAGATGTGCGGGAGCCTGGCCTCTGCCCCATCACTCCAGGCCCGTACCCGACTGGCACCCGTTTGCCATGCATGTCTGGTGGACTCTGCCCACCCAGCCTGAGCCCTGTGCATCCCTTGGAGGATTCCATGGCTTGACAGTGGCTTGGTAGGTTCGCTCAGAGCTTCTGTATCTCTCCCCAACCCCCCTGTTTGAGCAGGTTCATCTATTCTAGTTCGGCTTGCCCGGATTGTGGGTCACACCGGCCTGTACCAGGCCCGCCCTCTCATCTGCAGCCTCGCTCGGCCTGGCTTTTCCTGAGACGGGCTGTTTCTACTCTCCTCTACTGAACACTCCAGCCTGCGAGCACTGCAGTGTGTGAGCCTGTCTGACACTTCCCGCCCCGTCCTTCTCCCTCCGGTTCTCGGTTCTCGGTTTCTGTCTTACTTGAATGGCACCCCATTTTGGTGGAATGTGACCATCTATTTTCGCTTCTGTCCTGGAGCTGTGTCTTTTGGGCCAGCTTCTCAGCCTGGCCTAAAAGTCCTTTAAGGTGAACCTCTGGCCACGTTCTATCTAACCCCATCACACTCAGAGCTCACTGAGTTTTTCCTATCTGCTCAAAATCTTTTCTCAAGTGCTCGCGTGATAGGTCATCGAGCAGTGCCCTTTGGCATCTTACCCAGCCTGGCTGGCCCTGCAGAGATATGCTGGAGGCAGCCCACCTGGTCAGCTCCTCCCGCCCAGCTCTGCATCCTGGGCTGAGGGGAGCCCTGGGCAAGGGGCTGCATGTTGGAAGGCCGCAGGTGAGAAACATCAGCAGACACTTCACACTTGAGCCCCTCCCTGGGTCTCAGCTGAGACCCTCAGAGCCTCTTCCTGAAGCTGTGGGGGAGGGGGCTTCGCCAACCCGGAGTGCACCTGTGTCCTATTTCACTTGGCCACTCTGGGCTTCTCTCTCTTCTGGAGGATGGTCCTCTGCCGGCCTTGGCAGGAACACGCCCACCCTGCTCACCCGCAGCAACTCCTCTCCGACTAGGTGCCTAGTCCAGTGTCCGGCTATGGCCTGTGCAGGGCCAGAAAGACAAGCCCCACCTGCCATTTGGCAGTTTAGAGTCTCTGAGATTCACAGAAGTGTTTACAGCCACGGGGTCGATGCCGGCAGCCTAGGCTCTGAGGCACTGGCCAGTGGAAGCGTCAGGGGGGACGTGCTGTGCTCAGGCTGCTCTCTTGTTGGGGGCGGGGCAGCCCGTCCCCAGCTCCTTTCTCGCTGTAATCGCGGGCACACCCAGCTCCCCACTTTCCTGCCAGTCCCTCTGTGGAGCACACTTGGAGCTCACCTATTTACATACATGCAAATTCCCTAGCCCACGCCTTGTCCCGAGCATATTCTTTTATGGCAAATCGAGCCGAACACCGATAGGGAAGGTTCCTTATTAGCTGCACACTGAACTCTCCTTCTCAGCCAAGGAGTGATTGTAAAAAGTGAATCGGTATCTTGATGACACACAGTGACCGACGTTTCCCATGGCAGCGAACAAAAACACCCACGAAAGCAGAAATGGACTTTCCTGCCCCTCAGGGCAGTGGGAAGCCTGGGAGGAAGATTTTGGGAACACAGAGGAGGTTCTCTGAAGGTCCTTCTGAAGTTTGGAGAGCAGGTGATGGGGCCGCTCGAGCAAAGGACCTGCAGACATCTCTCCGTCCAGACCCAAAGGAGGCAGCTGTTAGCAAACATGCCTCCTGGGCCCGTCCTTGGTGCCCATCACAAAGCTGATGCTGAACATGAGCTTTGTTCTGAGTGTGGCAGAGAGCTCAGCGTCCTAAGCAGAAGTGTGACGAGCAAGTGGAAGGGACCATGGGCGAGCTGGGGTGGGGGTGGGGAGCTAGTGGCAGGGTCACCCCCCAGCCCTGCAGAACTGCGGACAGAGCAGGGACATGCAGAGGGGACCCAGACCCTTTGTGGGTGGCAGCAGCCGGGCCACGCAGGGGTGCAGGCACTAACAACGGATAAGTATGAGGCCATGGTGCAGGTGGACAGCTTGGTTCCCTCCAGACAGGTGCAGGAGTGGGGGGAGGGACTCCGGTCAGCTCCTTTGCAGTGCTGACTGTGGGCCCGCCTGACCCAGTGCCACGGAGGTTTCTGGGCGGACAGGGAATTCTGAGGCAGCAGCAGCCAATGGAGAGAAGAGTGAGCAGCGAGCGAGGGGCCTCGCCAGGGGCCGAGAGCCAGGCCTGGACACCTTTGCAGCCCAGCCAGCGAGCAGGGGAGCAGGGCGTGTCATCTTCCGGTAAAGAATGGACCAGGGCCCACAGCCCAGATAAGGAGTCTGAAGTCCATCCCCGCTTCCCCTCCCCATGACCCACCTCTCTGCCCACCTGGTGCAATTCTGCACCTGTGATTCTCCACTTGGGAAACTGAGGCTGTCCCCGTTGGCGAGGGACCATGTGTGAGCCTGCGTGGGAGGCCAAGCTCCAAGGCCAGATCTGTGCCTCATCTTTCTTCCTAGAAGTTCTTGTTTTTTGGTTGTTGAGTATATACAGTCCTCAAAAACTATACTTTGTAATCTTGCAACTACAAGTCTGGTCTGTAGACATTTCCGGTTGATTTATCAGACCCCAACCCTGAAGCCCAGCCTGGCATGGGGCTGCACTGGTGAACTACTGCACTCCGGCCTTAACTGGCACCAGCCTTAGATGACCATGGTGCTCCTTGGATGCTGAGTAACTGATCACATCCCAGTCTGCCCTCTGCCCCAGCTGCCTGAGACCAGGGTGGCACCCCAGAACACCCCCACACCTGCACTTGTGATTGCCTCTTTTGTGATTGCCATGGTCACCAAGAACTCAGACCCCAGTGAACCAGGCACTGCTGACCATCCCCACCATGCCTGCCCAGCGGTTCTGGGACTGGGGTCTGCTGCAGACCTAGTACTGGCCACGGACAGCAAAGTCAGGGGCCTTGGGGAGGGGGCTGGGGCTCTTGGTTGCGGGTACTGGGCAGCCAGGGCCAAGATTTCCTAGGACTCGCCCTGCTGCCTCCGTCACGTGCCTGCCCCAGGGCTGTCCCCTCTGTCCAGGGCCAGGAGCGCTGCTCATCAGGACCTCACATCCCCATGCACTTTGCATCTCAAACCAAGCATCCCACCAGCTGGGCGTGTAGTTTTTTTTTTTTTCTGGAAGGCACCACCGGTGCATTTAGGGGACAACAGTGTGGCCAGCCTCCCCCGGGCTTGTCTGCGCATCCCGGGCACCCGGCTGCTGGTCCCGGGATGGGGACGCACGGGAGGGACCGGCCGGGCTGCAGCTCCCGGGCCACCTGGCTGGGCTGGCTGCGTGGCGCGAGCCGGAGCCGGCCCGAGCTCAGGGTCCCGCACCCGCGCCCCGGGTGCACGTCACGGGCGCTCAGGACGCGCCGACACGGCGGGGCCCGGACGCCGCGTCCACCCGCGTCCACCTTGCGCCCAGCCCGCGGCCGGCCGGGCCGCCGGAGCCGCCGCGCACTGAGCCGCTCGGCCGCGCACCGCCCAGCGCCGACTCCTCCGGCGCGCCGCCGCCCGCGGCTTATATAGGCTGCTAAAAATAGCCGGCCCGGCCGCCCTCCAATGGGAGGCGGCTCCGGTTCGAATCGGGCCAATGGCGAGGGCGCGGGGGGAGGGGCCCGGTCACGCCAGGCGGGGCCGCGCCGCGCTGCGCGCACCCATTGGCCGCGGCTGACGTCATGCGCGCGCGGCCGGCGGGCGGGGCGGCGCGCCATTGGGCGGCGCGGCGGGGGCGGGGCGCGGCGTCACGTGGGGCGCGGGGCGGCGCGGCCGGCCGGGGCGGAGGAGGCGGCTGCGGCCTTTGAATAGGGAAGTTGGGCAGCGCCGGCGCGGCCAGTCGTGGGCTGCAGCGAGTCCGCGGGCAGCGCCGTGCACGCTCGGGCGCCCGCGCCGTCCTCGCCGCCCGCCATGGACGTGCTGCCCATGTGCAGCATCTTCCAGGAGCTGCAGATCGTGCACGAGACCGGCTACTTCTCGGCGCTGCCCTCGCTGGAGGAGTACTGGCAACAGGTAGGGAGGGGCCGCGCTGGAATTCTGTTTTATTTAGATTTAAACGCCGTGGAATTCGAATTTAATTTAAATTTGATTTTTATTTGATTTTTGTTTATTTTTTATTTAAATTCGATTATTGTTTCTTTTTAATCTTATCTAAATTCCACTGTGTTTATTTTTTATTTAATTTGCATTTATTTGAATTTGTTTTTATTTATTTTTCCATTTCTTCCCGGATCTGAATAGTGCCCCCACCTGCTCTCCAGGGCTGTCATCCCCGCAGCCTTCCCCGGCTTTCCGGGCTGCCCACCGCATCCTCCTGCTGACCCAGCTCCCAGCGAGGCCCTGGCACGCCTTTGGGGCTTGTACCAGCTCCCAGTTCCACAGCTGGATCTTGTCAAATGAGTTGACTGGGGCAGAGCCAGCAAAGGGTTGACTGTTGGGTTGTATTGTTTTTGTGGTGTTTTTTTTTAAGGTTTGTTGTTCTGCTTTTTTGTTGTTTTGTCCGTAGAGCTTTTTTAAAAAATATATTATTATTAATTAAACAATCCCCCTGAGAAATAGAAACAGAGACTTTTCTCTGCCTCTTTCGGTTTCTATTTTCCTCTTTGGAATCCTTCAGATTCGCCTGGATCTGCCTTGTTTTTCTTACCTGCTTCTATTGTTGACCAGGAAAAAAAAAGCCCTGTTCGCACAGGCAGTGACTTACAGTCATATGACAGTGGGGCCGCAGAACTGGCTCAAGTCTTCATTTGGGAAGATTCAGAGGCTGGCTTTCCCGGTGTTTGGGGGAGGAACTGGAATTTTTGACATTGGACATTGGAGAAACTTAATCCCACCCCCATCCTGGTTCTGATTCCTTGGCATTTCTGGAAGGGGACGACGTATTCTGACACTCGCCTCATTGTCTTTAGAAGGGGATTTGGGTGCTGAGCCCCTCGCTGGCCCCAGCAGATTGGCAGATCAGAGACTCTGGGGTTTGGCTCCTTTAGGAGGGCTGGAGGCGGGTGCGGAGCTCTGGGCGCTGGACGGGGGCCCTCCTCTCCCCCCCCACTCCTTGGGGATGATCTAAGTAGTTTCCTCGGGCCACTTGCCAGGCTGGGCTGCCTCTTGCCGGCAGAGGCTTTTAAACTCCAAGACTCCCTACCGGTCCCCAGCGTCCACCGGCGTGATGGGGGTTTGGAATTAGCCAGATGATGGGAATTAGCCAGATCGCGGGGAAACGCACGTTCCCTTTTCCTCGGAATGTCAATAAAATATCCCCGCTCCTCCTCCTCCTCCCCAGCCCTTGTGTGACGGGAACTCAGCTGGCTAATTTTAGGGGGAAGGAGGAAACAGCGCCCCCACCCCGTGTTTGCTGTACAGCAGGGCGGTGGGCTGTGGGCGAGGTCTCTGGCGCTGACCGCTAGGACCGGGGGTCAGCTCTGCCTCCTCCGGAGCATTTGCGGGAAGAGCAGAGTTTGCTGTGGAAATGGGGCTGTGTGTGTGCCTGCGGCGGCCTATAAAGACATCCTTATAAGGACATGTGGGCAGCCGCTCCTGGCCGGCCCGCCCAGCCCATCCGAAAATGCCTCCTACCGCCTTTCTTCCCCACCGGCCAGAAAGTTTGAGGTGCTGAGGAGAGGGGAGCACCCCCTTGGGCTGCAGCGCGCCTGCCTTGGAGGTGGGCGGGGCTGGGCTGCCCCCAACACACACAAACACACACAGTGCGTGTGGATTTGAACGGGGCGTCTTTGACTGCTGCTCAGAATTTCAAAAGGAAGTCTCCTTTGGCATTGGGTGAAAGAGGGCGATGACTCATACAGTTGTACTCTTGGCCCTGGGTAAAGTCCTCAGCCATTGTGGCCTCCCCACCGCCTCCCCGTGGCTGACGGAGGACGAAGGGCGTCTGTCTTGCTGTGGTCCAAGCACAGTAACCCCTCTCCCACCCCCACCCCCGCCCCCCAGAATCTGTGAAGCTGGTGGCGCCCAGGCCTGGCTCGGGGATGCATTCTGTGCACACCTGCGGGTGCCGGGGGCGGCCGGCAGCCCCTCGCTCCCACTCCACCCTGCACTGTCAGAGGAGCCGTCAGACCTGTTTGGGGATGCGCCTTTGTGTGGTTTCTCCTGGCATCAGCACCCTCCGCCCTGGGAACTGAGGACAGCAGGGCGGGCTTAGCACCACACCGTGGTCACGGGCTGGGCGGGCGTTCACCCACCTTCGCCTTCTCCAAACTTCTCAGTGCCTCTCGGGCTCTGAGTGTCCAGTGGCCGCCCCTTTGCCCTTCACGGCCGCCTATTTGGGGGAAATGTGCCTCCGCTTCCGTGCGCCCGAGGTCACGCGGCTCCTGTGCTTCCTCCCCAGACCTGCCTGGAGCTGGAGCGTTATCTGCAGAGCGAGCCCTGCTACGTGGCCGCCTCCGACATCAAGTTCGACGGCCAGGAAGACCTGTGGGCCAAGCTCATCCTGGCCCGTGAGAAGAAGGAGGACGCAGGCCTCCCGCACCCTAGCAGCACCCCCGAGGACCCCCTCAGCAGCCCTGGCTTTGCCTGCAGCCTGGAGACCAGCAGCCTGAACTCGGACGCCAGCAGCGAGGCCTCCGACAGCTCTGAGGAACTGTCACCCACCTCCAAGTTCGCTTCCGACCCCATCGGCGAAGCCTTGGCGGGCTCAGGGGGCCTGGGCAGCCCCCTGGCCTCCTCGCCCCCGTCGTCCCCCGAACTGAGCCAGGACCCGTCCCAGCTGTGGGCCTGCGGATCTGGGGAGCTGCTTCCTGCTGGGAAGATGCACGGGGGGACTGCGGGGAAGTCCGGGGACAAGGGCAGCGGGGATGCGTCTCCCGATGGCCGCCGCAGGGTCCACCGCTGCCACTTCAACGGCTGCAGGAAGGTTTACACCAAAAGCTCCCACCTGAAAGCGCACCAGCGCACACACACAGGTCAGTGCGGCCTGCCCACCCCACCTGGGAGCCACCGCCCTGGGAGGGGGCACGCACAGACTCGCCTCCCCCCCTGGGTCTCGGGGGGCAGAGTAGGCGCGGAGAGACTGGACTGTGTCCTCTGAGCTCAGTCGCCAAGAGGTAAAGGCCTGCTGCGTCTTCACCATCCAACCTCGGGGCCCCGGGCCTGTCGGCCCCTTCTCCGTCCCCAGCGCCCAGCACCCGGGCTTCCCGTGTGCCCGCGCTGCCCACAGGGCTTGTGCCACGTGGCGATAAAGTTGAGGGTCGGAGCAGCCGGGGGCGGGAGCTGAGCTGGGCCGGCTTCGGGGGGGCTTCTGAGACGGGGCCTTGGTGTCTGTCCATCAAAAAGCCCGGAATCTACCTACCAGCCACCGGTGAGGGTGAACTCTCTGTGGGGGCACCGCCCCACTGCCCCGGGAGTGATGGGGCATCCAGGCAGAGCAGAAGCAGCTTTGCCACGTGCAGGGCCCCCAGCCGGCTGTGGCAGAACATTTCCAGGCTGCGTGGCTGCCCGGCCTTTGCCCGCAGTCCACGCTCACTCTGACCCAGAGTGGTCACCACTGGCCACTTCCCGAGCACCTGGCGGGGCGCGCTCCTGGGGCAGTGAGGGCAGCAGAGGCAGCACCCGCCCGGCTGCCCGCCGCGGGCCTGTGACCTCACGGTGCTGTGTCTCTTCCCAGGAGAGAAGCCGTACCGATGCTCCTGGGACGGGTGTGAGTGGCGTTTTGCAAGAAGCGATGAGCTAACCAGACATTTCCGAAAGCACACGGGCGCCAAGCCTTTTAAATGCGCCCACTGCGACAGGTACGTGGTGCCAGCCCTGCCGGGCGTGCGGGGACCGGGCACCACTGCCCCGGCCTCTGGGCCTTTCTCGGGCCCCACCGGGCCCGCCGCGGGGCTCAGAGCCTGTGTTCGCGGTGGTGGGGGCCGGGGGCTGCTGTCAGGCCTAACGCCCCGGCTTCGTTCTGCAGATGCTTCTCCAGGTCCGACCATCTGGCCCTGCACATGAAGAGGCACCTGTGAACCGGCCGCCATCCCTGCGGCTAAGACGGCTCCGGGCTGCGGCCGGCCTGGCAGAGGCGCCTACCAGCCAGAGCAGCTGCCTGGCTCCCTCCTGCCGGCCTCCAGGGCCCCCTTGGGTGGTCGTTGGTGGGAGGGCCGAGGTGTCCCCGCAGAAGCGCGGAGTGCGGTGGGCAGTGGGGGAGGCCCCGGCCGTGAGCACGGAGCGTGTGGACGGCGTGACTGTGGTGGCCTGTCCCCGTGTGTGGGGCCAGTGCTCGGTGCCTTCCTGTGTGAGGCAGCCGACGCGGTTTGAATGTTGTGTGTGAGGCGTGCCCCCGAGATCCTCCTGGGGATCTGCACCTGAGGGGGGATTAAAAAAAAAAACACAAAAAAAGTTGTGAAGGCGTGGGGGGCGGGCACGGGGCGGAGGAGACCGGCTCTGAGAGGACCCCTGTGGCGGGTGTGATGGTGCCCTGGGTGGCCCCAGGACCTTCCCACGCATGGCGGGAGGTGGGGCCCCGCCCGGGTGACACTTTCCTATCAGAGTGGCCACCGGTCAGCTAGTCAACGGGCACCGGAAGCTCTTTTCTTTGTGGGGCCCAGTGGACCCCCCCTCTGCCCTGCTGAGGACAGTTGGTCCGGGTGCACGAGCTCCGTAGAGGGTCCCCGTGCCGGGATGGGCCAGGGCTGTGTTGGGTGTGAGCGGGGCTGGGATGCTGGTCTCATGTTCCACCGACCTGGAAGCTGCGGTTTTGCTCGGTGGGGTGGATGAAACCACTAAAGCTTAGAAACTGTTTTCTCATGCAGCTAAGTTTCTCTTATTTATGCCTTGAGGACTAATTTCTGGTTTTCCAGCTGAAAATGCACTGCGGATCTTAACAATGGTGCCTTACGCAGGCCCTTCTCGGGCTGTTACAGGGGTGCGGGGGTGCATGCTTTATTAAGGCTCTTTTTTTACACCTGGCGTTGTACTGTACCGACGGAGAATCCCGAAAGCCCGAGTCCAGGCCCTCTCTCACGGACAGACAGCAGGGGGGCAGCCCCCAGCCATGCAGGGCCTCTCCAGCCTGACGCCCGGGAACATCGGAGCTTTTCTACCACAGACTTTGGTGTCCATTTTGCACAACTCTTGTATAGATCACACGCTGACCGTGTTGGATGCGTCTCGTTTCCACGCTTAGGAAAGATACAGAAGTGTAAAAAAAACAAAAAAACAAAAAACATAAAAAAAAAAAAACGATGTTAATGTATTTGCTTACAAGGCACAAGGTTTCTGTACCTGTCTAGCTACCTGTTGGTGATCGCGGAAAGCAGCCTGCTTTGGACAAAAGTGGGCGGAATTCTTGTGTATGTATATTTGTGTGTATAGTATATGTATGTGAGTGTATATATATATGCTATATATATAGATAATATATAAATATTTTTTTAAGGAGAAATTAGAATGTTAGCTAGAGACTTCCACAGCCAGAGAAGCAGCTTTTCAGATGGGCCGCGAGGAGGGGGAGCGCGAGGTCCCCCCTTGTCTCGTGCCCCCCGCAGTGGGCAGGTTGGCCACTGTTTGGTCGCAGAACAGAGGTTTGGGTCTTGTGTTCCAGCTCTACCGGAATATCTGGCCTGGGAGAAAGCTCATCCCAAGCTTTCTGTTTTGAAACATTTGGATGCCCACCAACCTGGTTTTTTTTTTTTTTCCAGCCCAGAGATTCTTCCAGGTTTTCCAGAGAGTCACTTTCCCAAACTGGTATGCCGCAGCGGCCAGCCGAGCAGCCCCCTTGGGTGCTAGGGTAGGAGATACCCCCAAGGGCTGGCCAGGCTGCTGGTGGGTTTGATATTCCTGGGAATGAGCAATGCTGAGCGCTCACCTGACTGGTTTGTGAAATCTGGGCTGACACAGGCACTTATCTAAAGGACCCGTCTGTCATTCTGCGGAGTGGGGGGGTGGGGGATGGACTTTGCTTTCAGCGAGTGAGAATCCAGATGAGGGACTGGCTGGGTTTGGTAAAATGTCTTTAGGCCCTGTATGTGTTCAGCTGTATCCGTTCCATTAAACAAGGAGGTAAACTGAAGACCAAAAATAAAAACATAGAAATAAATTCGGGGGGTGGGGGGAAGAAACGCCCTCGGCTTGCACAGACGCGAGTGCTGGGGGCTCGGGAGCTGTGGGGGGTGTGTATGCTGAAGCCTGTCGTTTTCGTAAGAAGTACAGTAAGAGCTACATTCTGTTCAGGTGATAACTGAGCCTCAATCAAGCAGAAACTTTTTTTTGCTTGACGTTGAAAAAAAGATTTCTATTCGTGAGATTTCTTTTTTCTTTTTTTTTTTTGAAAGCACCCTGTTATCTAAAGAATCTTTGTAAGATTTTTGTAAAATTTTGTTTTACAAGATTTTATTTGAAATTGTTTTTTGCAAGATTGTTATATTTCTGTATGAATGTATTTTTTATTGGAATAACATAAAAGAATTCTTATCAGCATCTCGGGTCCCTTTCTTGGTGGGGGTGGGGGGGGGAGCGGCGGGGAGGCCACATTCCAGGGGCCTGAGTCAGCCGCCCCACTGGGCAGGCCCCTCCCCCGCACTCAGTTCCCTGTGGGAAGAGGAACTGGGTGTGGGTCACCTGAACTGTCAGTCCCTCCGGAGACCAGGCCGTCCAGCTCGGGCAGGAGGGGAGGAACGGGCACCACGGAGGCCCGGAGCCCAGATGGGCCTCCCAGCCACTCCAGCCCATCGCTGCCAGGCGTCGCCCTGTCCGTGCCGTTAGCTGGCTGCTGGCTCCGGGGGCTTTCCCGGGAGCGGCTGTGCTGGGTGCTGCGGGAGGCTCTCCCGTCGTGAGGGAGGGCAGCGGGGCTGGAGTATCCCAGGCAGGGCTGCCCAGCCTTTCTGGAAGTAAAAATACCCACAGTTGGAACTGGGCCGCGCGGGTGTCAGCATGAGTGATGGCTGCCTGGCCCCTGCTCCGGCTAAATAAAGGCTCCTGCCGGCCTGACCACTCACTCACGCCGAGACTGCCCGATAGCTCCGTATGCTCAAATAAGGCTGTGAGGACGGCCGGGCCCGCAACACGTCCAGAAGGGAGCGGTTTCAGTCTGGTTTGGAGACCCAGCTGCTAGGAAGGCCTCTCTGCCCTCCAGCCAGACTCTGGCATCTCTGTCCTGTCGTCAGGGCCTGGGGGGGGGAGTCCCAGCCAGCCTCCACAGCTCTGGGGCCCCGGTGTGCGGGGTGGCTTCCGTCCCTGTCCTCAGGGCCTGGGGCTCCGATCTGAAGCACTGTAGGAGCAACATCACAGGGAAAACTGCCCTTCGCCAGGGTTTGGGTTCTCCGAAACACTGAGGGTGAAGGGAGGAGAGGCCCTTGCTCTCCATTCCTCAACCAGCTGGGCCCAGTTTTGCACAGTGCTCTCCCCACCCCCACCCTGCCTCAGTGGTCCATCAGAGTGCCTTCGACAGGGATGATCAGGCGAGAGTGGCCCATGCTGCCCAGTGTTGCAGTGGTTCTGGGGTTCTCATCTCCAGGGATCAGAGGGAGAGGCAGTGGGGTCCGGGGGTCGGGGCCACGCAGAGAACAGAGTGAGGAAGACCCCCCACCCCCGAGGGCCCCCCGAGCCCTGCCAGGAGTGACCCCTGTGCGCTGCCTGGTGTGGCCTAAAGCTGCAGATGGGGCGGGGGGAAACGATAGTCCAGGTAGGAAGTCACAAGGGACCTGGGAGGCCGCCAGCACCAGGCCGGGACCAGCGTCCTAGAGGCAGAGCTGGGCCATTGTCCTCGCACTGGCCAGGGAAGGACACTCCACTCACTTCTGCCCAGACGCTCTCCAGCACAGAGAGGTCGAGCATCTTGGCGCCCTATGGCCAGCTCTGGCCACGGACAAGATGGATCGCCAATGTCTCCCGTGTGATGCCGTTTCTCGGGAAAAGGGTTCTTATTCCGCCATCACATTTATTTATTTTATTTTTGGGTCACACCTGGTGATGCTCAGGGGTTACTCCTGGCTCTGCACTCAGGAATTACTCCTGGTGGTGCTCGGGGGACCATATGGGATGCTGGGGATCGAACTGGGGTCAGCCGTGTGCAAGGCAAACACCCTACCCACTGTGCTATCACTCCAGCCTCATCACATTTATTTTTAAAATAGAACTTTCTAGTTCCGTGAGTGGCAGGCCCAGAGTCGCCTCGTCTCCGAGCCGCATAACTGACAGGAAGGAGGTTCCATAGGGGGTTGAGTGAAGACACTTCTGCCAGGGCCATGGGCAGGGTGGCCAGCGGCAGAGCTGGGCTGACCCAGACCCGACCCGAGAGCCAGACTTGCCCACTTTACTCATCAGCACCTGGAAGCCCAGCAGATTGTCCTGGGCAGCTGACCCCTGCAGTCCACCCAGTTCCTCCGAGTCCAGGCTGCCCATGCCTCCCCGTCCCCTGGGCTGTGTCCAGTGTGTTCCTCGCCGGCCCCGGCGGCATTTGGTCTGTGCTGGAACCTTTCCCTGGGCCCTTTTCGGGCCCCTAAGTTCCCTGCATGGGCTGTGGACTTGCTGTCCAGCTGCCTCCTTTGCTTTGTTCCACTTAGCATCTGGTGTCCGTTTGCCGAGTGGACGTGCAAAGTGTTAGATCTCACTGCGCTTATGGAGGGGCCCCAAGCCGGGGCCCTCCCAGGGATGTGTGGCCAGGACAGAACTCTGGCCCCACTCGGGGGCACTCGAGCCTCTCAGTCTGCACCCGACAGTGCTCAGGGTCCATGTGGTGCTGGACAGCAAACGGGGGACAGCGGCGTGCAAGGCAAGGGCCTGGCCCCGTCCTCTTTGGCTCCCCAGTTTTAGCTCGTATTTAGGGGTCATACCTGGCAGTGCTCAGAGAGCACTCCTGGTCTGGCTCAGAGAACCCTGTTGGTATCAGGGATGGGAACTCGGGTCAGATGTGCAAGGCAAGTTGCCGGCTTTGCTGCCCACTGAGTCACTGAGGTCCATGTGGACTGGGAGACCTGGGGGGGGGGGGGCATAGGTGCACCCGAGGCCAGCCCCGCCTTCACACCTGCACTTCGGCCTCCTCATGGCCCACCCCCTCGGGGCTCTCACAAGCACAGGGCGATTGGCCCACCTGAGGCTGGACCTAGGCCCCGTCCGTTCATCCTAGCTCGCGGCCCGGGGACCCCATCACTCCACACACTCAGGCACCTGCCCAACCCTTTGGGCTCCAGGTAACGGCATGTTATGTTGAGTCGCCCAGCTTCCGGGCAGGTAGGGCCTGGCTGTGAGTCAGCAGACGCCAGGATACCTGGGCTGGGCCGTGGGTCGGGACACCCTGTCCTGCCCCTCCAGAGCTGCCGCTAAGCCCTCACTGACATGCTCACCCGGACTTAAGCTCCTGGGTTTGTGCACAAAAGGAGCTGCACCCTGAAGCTTACGGAGGGTGCTAGCCCCTGGGGACGCTCTGAAGAAATGCAGGTGTGGCCCCCGAGAAACCAGGCTGGTGAGTTGGCTCATGCCCGGGGAGGCAGCCAGGGGTCACTGAAAGATGAGGGTTTGAGAGCCAGGGGTGGGTGCTGATTCTGTGCTGTGTGGCTGCATGACAGTGTCCCGACCTCTCTGAACCTTTCGTGCAACCCTCGTCACTTGCTGGAAATCATGAGGCAAAGCCACGGTGCCATTTGCCTTGGAGCTGCCGTGAATCCAGCAGAGTGCCTAGGAACCACCAGACTCAGGAAGAGCCGGATGCGCTGGGCTCGCTGATGGCCACTGACAAGAACAAGCTCTTTCCAGAGTAAGTCCTTGGGGGCGTGGTTTCCTGTCAGCTGATGTAATGCTGCCAAGCGCTGCTTTATCCGTGCGTGAGTAGTTTGAAGACAACAGTATCCAACTCATCGGCCAGAGAGCCGTGAGGAGCTTGGGGTTCACATCATAGCACCACAGGCCCCCAGATGGACAGGAGGCTCGCGGACCCTCCTGGGCCGCTGCTGGTGCTCCTACAGCGGGCGCCCACCCTCCAAGAGGGACTTTGGGACACGCACAAGACACGCACTGCCTGTGATTCTGCCTCACAGCCCCTGGCAGTCTTCCTTCCCTTCTTTTGTAATTCAAGAACTTTGATTTGCAAAGATTGATCTGATCAGTTGAGTTCTAGGCGCAGAATATTTCAAGCCCAAGCCCACCACCCACATCAACTTCCGTCCCTCACTGTCCCCATCTCCCCTCCCACCCCAGCCCCCACCCCGTCCTCCTTGTCTGTCACCTTGACAGACTCCTGACAAAGTTTCAGGGTTGTTGCTGAGTCTGTGTGTGGGTCTGTGGCTCTACCCCTCACCCCATCACGGCTTAACTGAAGCCCCAATGCCTGCTCACCCGTTATTCCTGTTCTCATCCCCCTAGATTCTCTCTTTCCCCGTCCTCCTCCCTAAGCACCAGGGCCCAGGGGGATCCAGGCCTCCCCTTTACCACATTTCCTCACCCAGTATTCTATACACCACAGGTAAGAGATCAGCCTGTGCTTGTCTTTCTCCACTGAACGTGTTGTCTTCCAGTTCCAACCAGGTTGCAGCAGATCGCATGATTTCATGTTCCTCGCAGCTGCATAGTATTGTGTGTGTGTGTGTGTGTGTGTGTGTGTGTGTGTGTGTGTGTGTATGCCACTTCTTCATCATCCCTTCCTGTGTGTCCAACAATAGAGGAAGTTTCCTCTCCCGGCCGTGTCCAGCGCACAGACGGATCAGCTCCACGGTGCTGGGTGCAGGTATTAGTCAGGCTGGAACATCATCAGATGTTCCCAAGGGTAGATGTTGGGTAGGCGCAATGCTTCCAGAATTCTGGCCTGCTCGTCGGCAGAGAGCTGCCCTGGATGCCAGCAGGGACAGTTTCCTGGTCCCAAAGAGAGCACGGCCAGCCCCTCCTCACCATGTAGGCTGGAGGGAGACTCAGATGTTTGCCAAACTGCCCAACTTTCCCTTCTGGTTGGGGGAAAGCTCTTGTTGATACCAAACAAGAGCTGAAGCTGACAGGCTTGTTTTGCTGCTTTCTCGGCTGTTTCTCTGGACACCCCTTGTAACAGGCTCATTTGCACAGTGAGGCCATGGCAGGCAAGGGTTCCCAGAAGTAGCATCTTGGGTAGAGAAACAGCTTCCTTGGAGCACGGTATGTGAGGGTGGGGCTTGGTCCCAGAGTCAACCTAAAGCAGGAGGCACAGTGGGCACCTGGAAGGATGCAAGGATGACCTGGGGCCCAGGAGGGCATTGGGGAGTCGGGACTGTCTCTCTGGGGCCTGGGAGCATCTCACTGGGTCTGGGAGGGTCTCACTGGGGCCCAGGAGCGTATCACTGGGGACTGGGAGCGTCTCAGTAGGCCCAGGAGCGTCTCACTGGGGCCCGAGAACATCTTACAGGGGTCCGGGAGCGTCTCATTGGGCCCGGGTGGGTCTCACTGGGGCCCAGGAATATCTCACTGGGCCCAAGTGAGTCTTGCTGGGGACCAGGAGGGTCTCACTGGGGCCCAGGAGC